TAAATACAACTATTATATATCCATAATGATTAAAAATAAAATAAAAAGAAGTTGCTGCAGAGGATGGGGGCAGTTTGGAAGAGCATAGGGCAGGGGGGCCTTTCTGAGTTGGTCTGATGGTCTAATTACTTACATAGAAAGTAATTGTTCATACTTTTCATGTTGAATTACAGGCAGGTGATTTTTAAAAGCCTAGTTTTTTCAAACAGTTGTGGTCTTGCCTCAGACTGAAGAGTTGTCTTATATACAATAGTTTATTACCATGAAAAATAAGAAAGTGATTAATTGCAAAAATATCTTTTAAATTTAACTTTCTCAGGATAGATTTGTCAAAGAGTAGCACAAGACACTTTTAATAGCTTTATGTTCTGTTTTGTAACCAGTTTATTCTGTAACTCTGCAACTTATTAGGGATAAAGTATGCAAAGCCTGGCACGGTCACTGAGGATACTGTCTGCAGGCTCTAATCTGGGGTCAGGAGGAGGAATAAAGGGAAAAAAGAAAGAAAGAATCCCTAACAAGGGTCAGTCCCAGGAACAGCTTGCCAAAGACTATGGGTATCTAACATCAGTGCCCACCTGTTTATGTGAGTATCTGGGCAGCATCATGTAACAATTTCTTTCTGTTGGGTGCCCATAGAATGAGGGCTCTGGTAGGCTGTGAGAAATCAAATATTAATATACAATCTCAGACTCAGTGGTGTTTACATGATTTTATGTTAACTGGACAAGAGGCTGAATGGAAGTCAGTCATTTATTGAGATATTTGGTTGAGCCAAGCATTTGTCCACATTTCCATCCTCAGTTTAGTTTTTACCAGTAAGGAACTGAAACTCAGAAAACTCATTGGAAGAATCTATTGAATTCCTGAAATTCTGGTTCATTTGTAAGTCACTGATAGCTGACAATATACATACATATGAAACACAGCATATTATAAAATACATGGTGAGGTACTTTAAGAAAATGCTTTGGGCATATTTCAAAGTAATTATTATTGTTTAAGTCTATTTATCATTTTCCTTGTTGAACATTAAGCTCTTGAAGACTGATGTCACTATAATCTGATTTTGAGAAACACACTATTGGTATCTTAGCTGGGGATGTTTCATCTCACTCTTAAAAATACTTTTCTGCTCTTGGTGGGAGAACGTTTTCAAAGAAGCATTATTTTGTCTCCCACCCTGTGTCTTTGCTTCACGTGAGTGATGAGAGGGAGAGTTTGATTCATTTACACATTTCTGCCCCCTCTCTCTCACCTATAAGGAGATAGCTGTTCAGTAGTAAACTTTTATCTCTACGGGCATATAACAAATAATGTACCAGTGTTAACAACAGTAGAAAAACAACATACAAAACCATCCATAAAACTTGATATCTGGCCAGCAGTAAGGAATGGCAGGATAAATTATGGAATATCACTAAAATGGCATATTGCACAATTGTGCATTGATAATTAGGAATACTACATAGAAAAGTGGAAACTTGCATAGAATATAATTAGAAGAGAAAATAAAAACACACTGTTATGATATATATGCTGCATATGCATGTGGGGGAGGCCTGGAATCTAATATGCCAAAAATGGAAATACATCGCTTAGGATAGTGGGATTGTGGATTTTCAAAAATATTTTCTCTAATGTGATAAAATAGTAGTAATAATAATAGTGACTTCACCAAATAAATCATGCAATGGGTGTAGAGAGGAGATATTAATAAATAAGTAGAGATTGGATGTTACAAAAGAGAAAAAACATTTAAAAGAATCTTCCTTTGCTATATTTGCCAGCTCAGTGGATATTAAGATCCAAAATATTGAAAACATTTTCAAAGGAGCTGGTTAGTAGGGTTTGGAAGAGAGCCCGAACTTAACTATATCTGGATTTTGTTTGCCAAGATGATTGCAATAGAAAATAAATCTTGAAACAGTTGTCTAATATGCTCCAGCTTGGGTATCTTGGCTGGATTCACACTTAGGAATCAAGAAACAGTTTGGAAAAAGAAGCCATGTGCATAATAAGTAGGAATATAGAGCAAGAAAAATTCAATAGAGAAATTTCAAAAGTAAAACGCCTATTTAAAATCAAGTGAAATGACTATTGGGATTAACAGCAAGATAAAGAAAACTAATGCCTACTTAACATTTATATCTGTGTAGATGCTCTTAAAGGCTACCAGGAGCAATCCTCATGTTTGTTATGTTAACAATTTATAACAATTTTCTAAAAGTGTTGATTGGAATGAATTGCTTTCTTTTCCTGTAAAGGGCTGAGACACTTTATTCTCCTTTTCTTCCATCCCTGTTGAAAAGAACCATGCTTTTACTCTGAACTGTACTTAAAAGTGTTGCTTGGGGGCACCAAGCTACTCTGTTGCATATAGGAGGGTGTTGCTTAATATAAGATATTAGAAAAATTTACATATACAATCACACATTTTATTCTTTCTGGTCAAAGTTAAACCTACCACCCCAACATTTGCAAATTTTTGTTTTAGCACAAGAAAATATTTCCTCAAATGCATACTTAGATACATTAAGTATCTTAAGTAGGTAGGTGGAAGAAGAAATCTGAAATAGGTTTTTTTCTGAACTAGAACTTGAAAATATGATAAAATACCTTGTTATCTCTAAACCAGTAGTTGACTCTTGATTTGATGGTAAGGGGGGGAGAGAGAGAGAGAGAGAGAGAGAGAGAATATGATATGAAGAAGTTTGAGCTGGGTCCAAGAAACCAGAAGGTAACTTTTCCAACCCCAAACCTCTACCTGACACTACAAGCATCTTCTTTCAGACTCTCTAAGATTTGCTGAGTCTCTGTAAACATCTCTCTGTCTCATTATCTCCTCACCTCTGAAGATGTCCATGGTGGCAACCACATTTTTATTCCTAAATTATCCAATAATTTTAACCTTTTTAAAAATATGATTTCTTACTTTCAAAATGCATTAGAATTATTAAAAGATATCATGATTTTAGGAAACTCTTTCCCCCCATCCCATTTCTAAGTCAATTACATTTAGTGCAAGGCTGTGTATTAGATTACTTTGGGCTATACCAACACTTAGAAATTTCTCCTCAAAAATATTTTACTCCTAACATCTTCATTTTAGTACCAGGAATGTATTGTGTTGAATAAATGATATTTGGTAATAAAGCACATCTGTTTTCATACATCTAAAAAATTCTTTTGAGTAGTAGCAATTCAATCTGTGTCACATAATTTTTATCATGAATTGCATAACTTTGGCATGCATTTTTCTGTAACACATTTCTTGGCAATATATAAAGTGCCTTTACATAATAAAATAGAATATTCAAACTAGGAATGAATGATAGAAATAATCTAGTGAAAAATCAATCCCCCCTCCCTTCATGGAGTAGGAGACTGAGGTGTGAGAAGAAAATATTTACCCAAGATCATGAGTCTCATTTTCTGACATTTAAGCCCTCCTAAAAATATATACTTTTGATCTTGAACTTGACTGGAAAGTTATGATTTTAAGAACATGATTCTTAAGACACAACAATTGCTACACTTAAGAAAGAATTGCAGAGTTGGACTTGAAATACACAAAAGAGGTATGCCAACATTTTTGTCCAATTCCCCTTTTAGAGAAAGTGACTAAAACTACTCGATCACTTAAAATCATCATTCTTTGAAGGATACAAAGTAATCTAGATCTTCAAGATGAAATCTACCATTCCTGTCTGTAATTCAATATTTTCCTTCAGCAGAGATCAAATGATTTTCTGGTTGGTTGCTCTCTTATCTATCGCAGTTGAACATGTGAAATAGGAAATACATTTTAGGATACCATTGTGGCTTTTTTTCTTCAGCAGCAGAAAAAAAAATGAAATAAAGAAACTTTTATCATGTAATGTTTACTAATCAGGTGAACTTAATAAAATGTAGGCTTCAGTTAAATCTAGTAGATTAACTTTTGGTTCACTGGTATTTACAGTTTGTGGGGGAGTTGAACAAATGTACAAATGCTGACACTTCCAAAAGTTTAACCATTGCATTTCATATGAATCCTGCACAATGTTCAAGACTAATGCATGGACTTTATAGTTTTCAGATTTTAAAAAGCATATTGGAATAGTAATTACCAGCAGATGTCTCCCAGTGTTAAAGACACTTAGATATATATGTAAAATTCATTTTGTCTTGATGAAAACAAATTCTAATCTGTGAAAATATTACATCAAGTCATTTTGCACCTGGTGAGGAAATTATACATGAATGATAGTAAATGTTAAAAAATTTCAGATAAAGACATAGTAAATCAATTTAAATGAAGGGTTTTAGATGTAACATAGACATTTAAAAACATTAAGTTTGCACATATCTGGTAATAATTATTTTACTTTATTTGAAACCATAATCTTACCAGACAATAACAACATAAAAATTCTGTTACATAATTTAACTGTATTTAACTCCCCTTTCTCCAAAAACCATCCCATCTAAGGGGGGTTTAACAAATCTATCTTGATTTTTTTTCCTTTCAGCAAATACCAAGTGCGAGAAGCTTTTCACCAGAGAAAAATCATGTCATAAAATGAAACATCGAAATTTTTCTTTCAATTTCTTCAGACATAAAGCAGCTCGGTTTCCCTATGGATAGCCCGTGCATCGTTTGATGCCTGGCACCTGCAGCCTACTCTAGACTTATCTCACTTTCAGTAGGTGCTGAATAGCACTTTTTGGTTTCTTTTACAAAGCATTCAACATTGTTTAAATTGTTAAGTAGCAATTGGAACAGCTTCCTTTCCTACCCACTGCCTCTTCTACTGTCCTTTACCCTCATCTCCCCTTTCCCTAAAATGTGTCCCCAACATGCCTATTTACAGACTCTCAGGCAGCAGAAGTTTGCCCGCCCATCACATACCAGGTCAATGTCTAACAGTGTGAAGGCTGTTGAGCAGAGCAATTTCCTTCCATTGGGAGCTGCGTGTAGTTGTTTCTATCAATATAGTGGCCCTTGTATGCAGAGCTTAGACTATCGTCTCGTGGTCCCACCTGCCTTGGATCTGATTGATGTAACAACAGTATCTGTCATAGGGGCTGTTCTGCTTGTAGGAGCAAACAATGATACTGTCTTGGGGCACAAAGAAGATGCTGTCCTCCGGCTCAGGGCGGTCGGATCTGTCCCAGGCTGAGCACTTGGCATCCAAGGCACTGTAGGCGAGGGAACTGCCAGATGGGCAGTAGCCGTCTAGGTATCTGGATGTCTCCTCCTGATGCCCACTCTGGACCAGGCTCTGGCATTCTCCTTCCTCCGTGGGTGTGACGGTGGTGATGGAGCTGGCCATAGGCACCTCACCCTGCCCCTGTTGGGGAAGTTTCCCCCTGAGGCCCGCCTTCTTAGCCAGCTCATCTGAGCTCCCCTTGCCCGACTCCAGGTCTGAAGGGGTCCTCAGCAGTTCCACCACCTCCTTGTCCTTGGGTTTCCGGAAGCAGGGCAATTTGCGGACCCATAGCAGCTCATTATCCGGCCACTTGGTGCATCCCTCGGTTTTCCTGGCCAGGGCAATGGCCGCAATGCCTGGCAGGCAGATGGCTGGCCCGATGGCCAGGAGGGGGATGTTTCCCAGAGTCTCCCCTTTCATCCCAGAGACGGTGAACATAAAACCAAAGACCAGGAAGACACTGACCAGGGCCACCACCAGCCCAGTCCTCGGGTTAATGTCATCAGGCCGCATCTTTCACTCCATCCAGGTTGGGGGCTGCTTGCTGGCCAGGGAGTAGCGTTCCTCTCCTCTGCCAGAGGTGAAACCACAGCGGGTTAAAAAAAAATCCAATCAAGTTCCCACCCACCAGCTCTCTGTCTCTTTTTTGCTTGTCTCTCTCTACTTGTCTTTCAGTCTTCGTCTCTACCTCTCTTTTGCAATTTCTTTCCCCTCTGCTTCTCTTGCAATTTCTCTCCCCCCCCACCCCCTCACTATTGCGACCGCTGTCTCTTTCTCATATAAACATGCACCGACTGGGGCCACCGAGGTACCTGAGGGTTCCTGCCGTCTCCAGGGAGTAGGGAAAGAGGCCAGTGTGAGTCTCCTCAGAAACCTCCACAGCAGCTGTCCCCTCGGCTCGCTCCCTTGGTTGTGGGAGGAAAGCCCGGTTTTCCCCGCTGACTGTGCGTCCAGGAGGTGGAACGTGGGAGAGTCTTTCCCAGCAGTGCCCGTCGGTCCCCAGGGCGGTGGAAGCGGAGCCGGCGCTGGCCGTGCGCGCGGCGCGGGGCGCGGGAGGAGGAAGGACCGAGCGTGGCAGGAGGGAAAGCGGCGCGCGAGCCTGGCCTCGTTACATCACTTGCGGAGCACGCTCAGAAACAACGCGGGACGCGCGGGGGCGCGAGGGCTCAGACCCCCGCGAGAGCCGCTCGGCGGAAGGGGCTGCCCCGGCTCTCGTCGCGGCTGCCGGGAGCAGCCCGGTTTGTTCTGCCGCTGCCCGGGAGGGCTGAGCGGGGACACCGGACCGATAACGTGCGGGGAAGGAAGGGGCGCTAGGCTGCCGGTGACCGGAGACGGGAACCCCGGGTCGGTTTGCCCACGGGGCAGCCGTTGGAATTTCTGAGCCTGGGCTCCAAGTCCGGTGTCCGGTGCCAGCTGGAGATGTCCCTCGGCGACCCGCGCCCTTCTTCAGTTACAAATCTGGGTGATCCAACCGCCCTGACGACTGCCCTTCTCTCAACCTCGCGGCTCTTGGGGCGCGGAGGGCTGCACCCCTCGAGGGGAGGGTGCCCGAAGACGGCTCTCCGTCTCCCGGTCGGGGTGGGCAGGGAGCACGGGAAAGCGTCCTTGCAGCGGAGCAGGCTGCGCTGCGGGGCGCACAGGATTCGTTCCGTGAAATTTGGATTCAGTCAAAAGGCCGCACTCTAGGATCCAGAAGGGCACATGTAGCCTTGAGGCTGCAGGTTCCCTACCCCTGGCCCAGGCTGAGTTAGTGTTGGGGGGCGGGAGGAGGAGTGCCAGGTCTTGCCTGGGCTCCCCAGAGTTTCCCGAGTCCCTCCCTCTGGCCTTCCAGCTCTGGACTCGTGAGAAGGTGACAAGGGAGAAGGGCTCCTGCCCCCGACTCCCATTCCACCCCCAGCTTTCAGAGAAGAGGCCTTGCCTGGGCGGGTCAGAACCACCCAGGAATGCCACCCCAGTTGTGGGCGATTCTTTCCTCCCTTGCTGAAGCTGACGTGGAGAACCAAGCATTCTCCCCACTCAGTGGTCCCCAGCAAGGGATGGATTCCTCTGGCCCCAGGGGCAAGACTGGCTTTGGCTGTGATTCTTCAAGAGGGCTTTCCATTCGGGGTAGAAGCGGGGTGGGGAACAAGATGGTACATTCTTTCATGTCAAGGTCTTTCTTGGTGGAAAGAACTTTGACATCCAGTCCCCCACTTAAACTAACTGCGTGTTCCTGGGCAAGTGACTTAACCTTTCTAAGAATCAGTCATCTTACCTGTAAAATGAGAATATTAATACCAAATATATGAGGAAGCATTGTGAGGATTAAATAAATGTAAAGTTCCTAGCACAATACTTGGTACATGGTGCCTGTTCAAAAAACAATTGAGATATGTGTATATATATATACACACACACACACACACACACATATATTTATATCAATGTATGTATATATAGTTTTCTTTCCATATTGTCGTTATAATCAGTATCCTCCTCATGTAAGGTGGGAGCCAAGTCATGAAGGACCTGTCTGTGGAGCTAAGTACTTCTGACTTTATCCACTAGGCAATGAAGAACTGTGGAAGTATTTTAAGCAGAGATCCGTACAAAAGTATTCCATTTTTGACAGAAAGTGACGGCAGGGTAGAGGATAGGTTGCAGGGGGGCAGTCTGGAAGCAGGCAGGCTTGTTAGGAGGGCAGCTCCGTAAGCCAGGCAAGACATGATGTGCACCTGAACAATGCCAGGCTGGGAGGGGCGGGTAGAAGAAAGCAGATCTGAAGGATACTGAAGGGTTGAATCAAGTGTCTTGGTGCACAGTGAAGTGAGATGAAGGGAGGAGGAGAGGCAAGGCTGACCCCCAACTTTCTCATCCTTTCAACTAAGTGGATCAGCAACCAGATGCCTTCTCATTTTCCACTCTGTTGTCTATTTTGTGTGTCTTTTGTACTCATGATCATTAGGTAGCTGCTGCACCTTTGGGCATAGAATCGTTTAGCAAGGAAGAAAGGAGAAAAGGCAAAGGGCAAAAGTGAGGTGCCTGCTGTTTGGCCATTTGTATCAGGAAAATAATAGTTTTCCCACCAGCCCCACCAGGTAGCTAGGCATCTGCTCAGAATCAGCCAGAAGGATGTCATATGGGACTCAAAGGAGCCTGGGAAATCTTTGCTTGCTTATTTACTGATTTACCAGACTCACTGATGCTCTGGAAAAAAGTCAAAGTTTTGTTAGGAAAAAGAGGATAATGAATCTTCAGGAAGCAACGCACTACGTGTGCTATGACTATTAAACACTTACCCTTACTTGAAACCCTCTCTTCCTCTGCCTTTACTGATACCATTCTATCCTGATTTTCCTCCTATCTCCCTGGTCACTCATTTGTAGGCTACTTCGTAAACTCTATTTTATTTATTTTTAACAACCCCCGTAGATATTGATGTTCTGCTAGTTCTGTTCTTGTTATTCCCCTTGTCTGATTTCTCTTCTCTTCCTTCTCATTCTATGATAGTTTAAATGGCCTAGACAGGCTTATGACTCCTGGAGTTATCTTTTTAGCCTTGTCCTTTCCCCTCAGCTTCCGATCTATCATATCCAGCTGTCTGCTTGGTTTCTCTACCTGGATGGGACACAAACATTTCACACTCAACATGACACAAATTGAACTCATATTTCCTTCAAACTTGCTCTTTCTCATTGGAGCCCACCAGGAGCTGATCAAAATCCTGTCTCTCATAAAAATATGGCAGAACATGGGCCACGTTACACAATAAAATGGGCAATGATAACATCCATATTTTTGTAAGCATAAACATTCAGGTACACTAACAACAGTCACACGGGTGGAACAGTAATGAGCAGACGAACCATATTCAAAAAGAAATAGGTCAAAAAGTGAAATGTAGAAACGCATATCACTATGGCTAATAATTGTGTGTACCCAGCTTTATAACTGCAGTCATCTGAAACACTGTGTCAAACAACCTAAGTCTTTTGACAAGATCCTGTTAAAGACTCCAGTGGGTTACCACTGCATATGCAGTTGCCAGAGCCAAGATCTTGAAAAAATTTATCTTTCACAAATGCAGATCTACAAAAAGGACATCTCTTCACTTATTGAGGAAGTTTCAACGTTTTTACATACATGAACAAAGTCAACGTTGTGATAATGCACTTTCATGGAGTTGAATTTGCAAAAAATGCATAAAACAAATCAGAACTCTCTAAAAGTCTCTACGAAATTTATTCTTCCAGTATCGCAAATGATGTAAAAATGAAATATGTATCACAAAGAATTGTAAAAAAAATAATGCTAGGCTGGGTGTGGTGGCTCACGCCTGTAATCCTAGCACTCTGGGAGGCCGAGGCGGGTGGATCGCTCAAGGTCAGGAGTTTGAGACCAGCCTGAGCAAGAGTGAGACCCCTGTCTCTACTAAAAATAGAAAGAAATGATCTGGACAACTAAATATATATCTGTATATCTATATCTATCTATCTATCTATCTATCTATCTATCTATCTATATATATATATAAAATTAGCCAGGCATGGTGGCACATGCCTGTAGTCCCAGCTACTCGGGAGGCTGAGGCAGTAGGATTGCTTGAGCCCAGGACTTTGAGGTTGCTGTGAGCTAGGCTGAAGCCACGGCACTCTAGCCTGGGCAACAGAGTGAGACTCTGTCTCAAAAAAAAAAAAAAAAATACTGACCATTTAAAACAGAGGGAAAAAAATAAAAAATAGAAAATTAAAATTAAAAACACCAAAAAAACTAAAAAGAAAATTCAAGATGTGGAAAAGTATGTTACAGGGATAAATTACAGGCAGATGCATAAAGGTAGTTCATATGATCTGGCTTTGACGATCATTAGCATTTTGAATCATGCAGCGTCATGGTGAATGGCTGCTTTTTTCTTTTAGAACATGGCTTTCCTCAGAGAATACATACGCATTCATTTCTATGTGGCACTGCTTTTTAAAAAATTCTTCTATGGTTCGATATACACCAGCATGAACATTCCCTGTTACATTTTCCCATCTTCTGTGCCATATTGTTTTGGGTTGATTACAGACATTAGGGATTTTAGATTTTAGGGATTTAGACTTTAGGGATTTCAACATTTGGAATTGTGTTTTTTGAGATTATGATCCAAACCCAACCCTATCATTTCTTCCATTTGTCAACTGAAAATATTTGAAATTGTTCTCTACTCTTTTCTCTTTCTAACAGCCTACATCCAATAAGTAATTCAAATCATTATAGTTTTACCTCCTAAGTTCTCTGATTATCCCCTCTTCTACTTGTGACCCTAGGAAAATCACTTTCCCTTCCTGGATTTCAGCTTCTTATGAAACAAAGGCTTTGAATGAGGAGGTGGGTGAAGTGCATTTCAGCTCTAATATTTCTGGCAGTTACTTCCGCATGGATGAGCTGATGTCAGTTTTGTGCAGATGTTTTGACAACAGTGCTGGAAATCAAGTTGGGTCTTAAAGAAGCAAGGTTGCTGAGCAGAGCCCTCCTCTCACTTGTACAAATATCTAATTCCATTCTGATTTTTAAGCCATGTAGTTCATCTACTTAGGCATTAGATAAGACCCACACTTAAAACCACAGGAAACTTCAATTACTATTTAATTATAAGCCTCATTCTCAAAGCAATTCCTTCTTGAAGGTAATTTCAGATGGTCTTTGAACAGCAGGTACACTTGCCTAAGTCAGCAGCAATAGTGGGTGGGGATTGGAGACATCACTCAGGGTCCCAATACTCAGAGAAAGATAAGGCATTCTTAGTGTTTAATTTCTTGTCTGTACAGGCTGATTGCAGTAGAATTTTAAAACCTTAAGTGGTTCTTGTAATGCTGTAAGCGTATACAGCCATGTACCAAAGCTTTTCATTAGAAGAGCAAGCAATTCAGGTTGAAATGAGACTAGGGCATGTGGGTATTTCAGAAAGATGTTAACACAACCTTTTATTTCTGAAATTATCATGGCATGTTAGCATTTGAAGATATCTTGTAGAATATCTACTCCAACTCCTTTATCGTACAGATGAAATCCAGAGAGGTTTCATTTGTTCAATATTATTAATACTTGAGTGTTTATTATGTGCTGGCACCGTGCTAGGTGCTGGAGGTAC